TTGTTAATTTCCTAGTGCTGCTGTCACAGAAATACCACGAGTGGGTGGCTTTAAAAAGCAAGCATTTATTATTTTCACGGTTCTGGAGGCTAAAAGTCCCAATCAGGGTTGTAGCCGGGTCAGTTCCTTCCTTGCAGGTAGTCTGAGTCTTCCTTGGTTCCTTTACTCATAGAGGACCCTCACATGGTATCTGTCTTACCCCTTTTGTGCATCCGTCCATTTTTGTCTGGTCTGCTCTTTTTATAGCTAGAAATGATCAGGTTTAGGACCCACCCTATACTGACAATGGCCTTATTAACATAGCAAAGGAAATGCTATTTCTAAACAGGATTACAGCCACAGGTATAGTGGTTAGGATTCTAGAACATTTTGGGGGAGGAGGGATACAATTCAATCCATAACAGGGATCATTTATAAAAATTCTAAGAATTATTATTCTAACCCCCACCCCACCCCCAAATGCACAGGGGACCAGAGCCTCTACTCACCAGTCTGTACCAGGAGCATGCCTGTGTGTTCTATACCTTTTTCTTCTCTAAGCAGGAAGTGAGCCTCTCTCACAGCCTTTGGTTCACACACAGGCTACTTTTGCAGGTTTGCCCATTGTTTCATGTGAGCTTGGAGTTCCATCCCTATAAAATGGGCGTGCTAAGCACAGAGCTGCCCTGGGGTTAAAATAGAGGCCTAGGTGCCAGGGGCATCAGAGTATGAATCTTAGATGTATACACCCCCTAGCTTCACTGTGGTGTCCCTGGGTGGTACAGGCAACACATTTAGCTGATAACCAGAAGGATGGAGGTTTGAGTCCACCCAGAGGCACCTTGGAAGAAAGGCCTGGCAATCTACTTCTGAAAAATCAGGCATTGGAAACACTATGGAGCACAGTTCTACTCTTGACACACATGAGGTCGCCATGAGCCAGAGCCGATTGGATAGCAGCTAGTTGGTTAGCTTTACCATGAGTTACTTGCTCATTCCCATTTTTATTAGATTAATCTACTGCCTTTTCTCCCAGACACTCAAGAAGCATTAGTTAGCTTTGCCATCAGAGTGTCTGAAGAGAAAATATTTAATTCCAGGTCAAAAACCTTGGCTGAAATTTCTACTGAAAAGCCAGACATCATTATTAAATTGTCAGAAAGTTAGCCATATTTGAGGAAGTAAGGAAATGGTTATAAATGACGTAAGCTTTTTGACGGCCAAGCTTACTCACAGTTGTTGACTTCTGGAGAAGAGAGTGAAGAGCCACCACCTCAGCCAGCTCCCACCGGCTGGCTCAGCAGAAAGTCCAATTGGAGCTGCTTTTAAGGGGGGTTATTATATTCGGGAGTATGGACGCTGCTCCCCTGGGAGTGGGGCTGTCGGGAGTTGCTGTCCACATGGCTGCGTCTGAACTGGAGACAACCCTCCCGTGAATCGAAGCTGTGATTGTCTTGCCCCTTGATGACTATTCCAGGCCATCCTCCTGTGAGTGGGGCGAGGCTCCGAGTCTTATTAGTGGGTCTGTGGTCTCTGGGCAAAGGTTTCTTAGCTTCCCTGGAGAATAGTGGTGTTTGCAAGATGTGTGTTTGGTTAACATGTTGTAGGAGCCGTTCATAAATTTCACAGCAACAGGAACTGAGTGACTCTGAAACTCCAGCTGCTGATGGGCTCGGTATGAGGTCTGCTCCGAAAACCAGAACGTTTGCTTTTCGTATCAGTCCCGAGTCCTAATCAGACCCCGTGCCTGGTGGAGACACAGCCAGAGCCTTCTCCTCTCTGCTGGGACCTCACCGGAGGCCTTCTGTCTCTGTCACCCCTCATTGCCTGCCTTTCTACGTGATTTTTTTTTTTTTTTCCATTTTAAGTTTCTAGGCCTTTTTTTTTTTTTTTCCTTCCCTTGATATTTCCTTGAGTGTTCAGAAGGAAGAGAAAGAAAAAACAAAAGAGGGGAGAGGGAGAGAATGGAGGGAGGTAGAGAGAGAAAGAATAGGGAGGGGAAGAGAAGTAAAGAACGGGGCTGGGGGAGAGAGAAGCTTGGAGAGAGGCTGAGAAACATACTCCTTCGGAAGATGCTGGAAATGTAGGGATTTGCCTGTAACGCTTACTTTTATAAATTAACTAGAGGCAGTTTACCCTAATGAAGAAATGGCGCTTTTTGTTATTGAGCAAATCCTTCTGGAGCCAGAAGGCAGCACCTCTTCACCTGTTGTGACCACCTGCCCCGTCTCTATTGATGAGATGATACAAGACAAGCACCTGGCACATAAGAAACCAAAACCAAACCAAACCCCTTGCCATTGAGTCAGTTACAACTCACGGTGACCCCATGTGTTACAGAGGAGAACTCCTCCATAGGGTTTTCTTGGCTGTAATCTTTACAGAAGCAGATCACTAGGCCTTTTCTCTGTGGAGCCGCTGGGTGGGTTCAAACTGCCAGCCTTTAGGTTGGTAGCCAAGTGCAAACCATTTGCACCACCCAGCAACCCTGGCACGTACCAAGCTCTGAATAAATGGTAACCCTTCCCTCCTTTCCCTTCTCTACCCCTCCCCAACGTTCCTTTCTTCCTTCTGGAACCTTGATGAAACTTCTAGGACTGTCGGTAGGAATAGTCTTGTCTGTCGGGGATGACCTTGCTGTGGTGTCGGGGTTTTCCTTGCTGACTCTGGTGGTATCTGAGACAAACACCTAAAAAACCACTTAAGAACCACAGTAACTCCCCTCTCTCCCTCCAGGCATGTTTCACACTTTGCAGAAGGCTTTGAAGTGCACTAGCCCACGAGGCCTGCATAGCACCTCTAGGGATGGACAAGTCCCAGTGGCCCCCTGGTCCTCTGGGTCAAGTGGACTGGCTCCCCTGGGATTGCACAGTGGAGCAGAATGGCGCTCAGCTTGGGGTTGTTGCCCCATCTGCTCCTCCTTGTCTGCTTATTTCTCAAGTGCAAATCACATCGCCTCATTGAAAACCTGTGAAGAGCTCCAAAGCTGCCGAATATGCATTTGGAAATAGGACCCATCCCTCACATTATACACATTGAGCCTCTGTGAGTCAGGGTCCAGGACAGCACCCTGTGCAAAGAGTCTTTATGAGAAGAGGCAAACTATACATAAATACAGGTCAAATGAGACAATGCACTGAGTCCACCAATCAGTTTGTGAGTAATGCTCACAAAAGACAAACCCAGGGTGTTTTTTTGTTTTGTTTTGTTTTTCCTTTTCGTGTATTTCTGTTGACTTGAGATTTTACCACAAAGAACCTCAGCAGATTTAAGGCTTTAGTAAGTGTCACATAGGATTTGAAGAGCTGCAAGTTGATCAGCTCCAAAAATGATACCTTGCAGGACCTTGCTGTTTGACTTCTCTGAGGAAGAAAGTGGTCATTTGTCTCTGTCCTTTGTTGCCTGTGTAATGTAAGCTCATGCAGCTCAAACCTTAGCGTGCATTAGAATCACCTGAAGGATCAATGTTGCTATTGTTAACTGCTGTCTAGTCGGCTCCCAACTCGTGGTGACGCCATGCACAGTGGGAAGGAAACCCTGCCTGGTCCTACACCGTCCCCATGATTGATTGTGGGTCTAACCATGGTAATCCATAGGGTTTTTTTTTTTTTTCCGCTACATTTTTTTTGAACATTTTATTGTGGTTTGGGTGCAAGTTTACAAAACAAATTAGTTTCCCATTCAACAATTTATACACATTTTGTTTCATGACATTAGTTGCAATCTCCTCAATGTGACAGCACTCTACCCACTTCCTCCCTGATTCCCCTGTTTCTGTTCACCCATCTTTCCTGCCCCTTCCTCCCATAGGGTTTTCCTTTACTGGTTTTCAGAAGTAAACCGCCAGGCCTTTCTTCCTAGGATGAACGTTACTGTGTATCTCAGTAGACCTGACTTTTAAAAAAGCATCTGGAGAGCTTGGCAAGCATAGATGCCTGGGCCCCACCCCAGAGATCCTGGGTGAGGCCCTTGAATTTGGCTTTCTAACAAGCTCCCAGGGGATATGAGCTCCTGGTCCACAGACCACGCTTTGAGGATGGCATCTCTAAGCCCTGATAAGGGACTCCCTCTAGCTGCCTGGAGGTGGTTGTTTGATTGAATGATCTCTTTTGGAGCTCATCAAGGGTCTTTTTGAATATCTAAATCAAATTAGATGCACTGGTCCCTTGCCCCTTCATCTCTGTGTATTTGCTTCTTGATAAGTTCAGTCAGCACAGAGAAGCCACTTACACGAATTACAGCAGACCCTCTCCAGTCTCACTTTAACACCCCAGTGCCCACTGTTCATGAAGGACTGAGTCTCTTCATGAACTCCCCCAGGTCTGGGACTCACAGGTAACTGTAATCAGCCATGGCAGTTGAACCACGCTTCCTGGAGGCCACTGCTTGGCAGGGAATCCGGCAGCCCTGGGTCAGCAGCTTCTCTGTTCATCTGTCCACGTGAAGGCAACCATCATTAAGGGCTGAAGGAGACACTGGAACTTTTAGTTACACATCACTGAATTTATGGAGGAGGGGGAGATTATATACTATGGTGGTCTTATATGGGGGTTCATTAGTATCTTGGGGTTGTCGATGGTATTAATAGAAGAGCTAACAGCTGACACTTTGTTGAGTATAGTACTTTACAAGCTTTACCTCATTTAATCCGTAGAGCCACCCATCGCTGTTGTTAGCTGCCATTGAGTCAGCCCCGACTCATCTTGACCTCATGCACAATGGGATTGGACCGTTGTCATCCATAGGGTTTTCACTGGCTGATTTTCTGAAGTAGATCACCAGCCCTTTCTTCCTAGTCTGTCTTAGTCTGTTGGCTCCACCGAAACCTGTTCAGCATCATAGCAACACGCAAACCTCCATTGACAGATGGGTGGTGGCTGTGCATGAGGTGCATTGGCCAGGAATCAAACCTGGGCCTCCCCCATGGGAGGTGAGATTTCTACCTCTGAACTACCACTGCCCTCTACCCCTCCCCCACTAAGCATGAACAGATGGAATTCCTATATTATAGCTGTGGAAGCAGACTAGAAGAGGCCAAGTACTTCATACCAGTGGCAGAGTTAGGATTCAGACCCCTGTCTCTGACTCCAAAGCCCATGCTCTTAATCACTACACCCTCTCCACCTTCTGTATCAGAGACTCTGTTGCATTTTTAGCCTCTGCTTTTTCCAGTAGAATTATGAGATTTCTAAAATTATAACACTTTCAGAAGCAATTTATGAATAGAGAGATGTCAGCATGCATTTAATATTCAGTTGGGGTCTAAAATCCCACAATATGAAATGTTCTGCCCTTTCTCAAAAAGCAAGAGCTCCAAGAACATACTTTTTCAAAAAAAAAACAAGTGGGAAAGGCCCACTCACCCAAATACCCAAAACACAAGCAAAAGAGGACTTATTGAAAGAAGCTATGGAAACAATATCCATCGTGCCATCTTGAAATAGCTACCCTCTGGGTCTTAAGTGTTAGTTGGATAAAATAAGGATATTGGAGTCAAATAAAATAAATCAAAAATGAAGCCTTTCGTGCTGATCAGCAGGTGTATTAGCATGCTTGTTCCTTACAGTGCTCCTGAACAGACTGTTTTTATTCCTGTCTGAAAGCAGAGGAAGAAAACCCCCAAGAGACTTGGTGACCACCCCAAGCTCATAAGAGTTATGGGTGCTGCAGCCGTAAAGAGGACCCATCTCTGTTCCCTGACTGGCTCCCTTTCCCAGTCAGTGCTGGCTGTGCTGCTCCCAGATAGCTTTTTTTGCTTGAAATAATCTTCATAGCCTTACCACTCCTCATCCCACCACACAAGAGAAACCCTGCTGCTATTTAGTGTCTATCTTCCCAGACTTTTTAATGTCTAAATTTCTGGTTTTATTTTTATTTTTTTAAATAAAATCATACTCTATAGAACATACTGGAAACCCACTTATTTCACTCACGATATATCATGAACATCTTTTTGCATTGCTAACTCATCTTCCTCAGCATCCATTTAATGGTTATATAGTAATCTCTTGTACCTTTATTCTGGTTTCTTGCTTTTAACAGAGATTTTGGTAAAGGTTAACTTGAAAAATGATTACTGTCACCTTGCAAAGGTAAAATTAGATAGTTCTTGGATAATAGGCTTTGAATAGTAAAATTGCTCTGGTGTCTTTCGGTTACACTGAATCTTTTGAGGAGATTGTTTTGTTTTCTACTCAAAAAATACCCTGCTGGAAAACGCAGATGTGTCTGGTCCTGGACTGGCTGTTAGCAAGTGAGTGAGAGCTGAGAAGAGAGGTGGTACCATGCAGGGCCTGCCACACCCCCTGAAAACGGGGAGGGTGTGCGGGCACTTCTGTCTCAGCTGTGCCATGGATCTGAGCCTAATGCCTTTTCTCTCCCCAGCAGACCCGCCTGTGGCCGCCGCTGTGGTATCCCATTTTAATGACTGCCCAGATTCCCACAGCCAGTTCTGCTTCCATGGAACCTGTAGGTTTTTGGTGCAGGAGGACAAGCCAGCTTGTGTGTAAGTGTCCCCTGGTCTCCTGAGGTCCTGGGATAGGGGTGGCCCAGCAACCACTTGAGGGCACATTTACCTTATCTAATTATCAAGTGTCCCCTGAGGGGTAAAATTGCCCTTGGTTAAGACCACTAACTATATCAAACTGCCATTTTTATAGGTCAAAATGGTCAAAAATTGGCAATTTCATATGGTTCAACCTAATAAACCAAAAAAACCAAACCCGTTGCCGTTGAGTGAATTCCAACTCATAGCAACCCTATAGGACAGAGTAGAACTACCCCGTAGAGTTTCCAAGGCTATAATCTTAACTGAAGCAGATGGCCACATCTTTGTCGCGCAGAGCGGCTGGTGGGTTCAAACCAGTGACCTGTCAGTTAGCAGCCAAGCACTTAACCACTGCGCCACCAGGGCTCCTTACAACCTAGTAGTACCAATAAATAATAATAAATGTTAATAAAAAGCTAACATTTCTTGAGCTTTTGCTTCGTGCCAGGCACTGTTTTAAGCACAATGCATGTGTTTAAGTCATTTGATCTTCATAACGGCCCCATGAGGAAGTCACCAAGAGGTAGTGTGCAGGTCACTTAGCGGAGCTTAGATTCAAACCCAGACTCTCAGGCTGCTGAAGCAGAGCTCTTAACCATGATGCGTAAGGGTGTCAGGTGCCTTAGCCCAGGAGAGATGGGGCCAGAGGAGGCTGCCGCAGCAGCACTGTGAGCAGCAGTGGGTGGGCTGCCCTCCTGAGGTAGCAGCCTTGTGAGCCTGGGCCAGCCCCTCCAGGTACTCTTAGCCTCACCTGGACAGGCAGCCAGGCCACCTTCCTCTGGGAGGAGACTGTGTGAGGCCCCCAGGCTGTGCCTGCAGAGCTAAGAGATTCTCCCAGATGAGCGGCCTCCTCATCTTATAAATCCAAAGCACAAGAATGATGTTAATAGGCACTGTCATTATTTATTATTACCATTCTTATTAAAATACACATTAGGTCACTGAGCCAGCCCCTGGGGGACTGATGGGGTTGTTTTTATTGATACCCCAGTCAATGTGAAAAAAAACTATTTGCGTCCAGACTGACCCAGAAGGGGGATTTGCCTCTCAGTCAGTTACAAGGAAGCCTCCCAGTACCTTTGTGCAACAGACTGAAGGCAGATTCCCCTCCAGCAGTCTCTGTACTGGGCCCAGAGGGCAGGCATGGGGCCTGGAGTTAGGGGAATCCTCTGGGAGAGAGGGCAAGTCTTTGCCAAGCTCTGATCAGAAGTGGGTTGGAAGCTCAGATTTTCCTCCTCAGTTACCTTCCACACCAGATCCAGGGCTGGTGTAAACTTTCCAGAGCTAATGGCCTTGAGCCTGGGGCATCAGACAAGCCAAAACAATGACTTTATCTCTGGCTAAGACCCACCCATGGCTGGGTGGAAACACTCTGAAAGCTGGTGGTGGCTGTTGTCCGGGTCTCCTCAGTCTGGTGTAAAGCCCTGCTCCTGACTCCGGAAAGATAATTAGCCATCACATTCACACAACATTAACATCTTGGTAATCAGGATGACTGGATTCGTGTCCAATTACACTGTGGTAATCGGAAGGATTGCCCATCTCTCTCTTCATTCACATTATAAATATTACTCTTGGTAATAATAGTAATCTCTCAGGAGAAGCTGTAGCTATGTGCCAGGCTCAGTGCCAAGCACTGCACATCCATTGTCTCATGTAGTCCTCACAAGGACCCTCAAAAGTAGGTATCATTACCCTTCTTTTTAAAATGAGAACACTGAGGCTCAGAGAAGTTAAGCAACTTGCCCAGAGACCCAGAGATAGTAAGTGGCAGAGCTGGGATTCAGTCCAGTTGGCTCCGATCCTAAAACCATACCCAGAGAGTGCACTCAGCCTTAGCCTCGCAACGTTCCCCTTAAATCACGAAGCCCTTTCGTTTCCAGGAAAGGTGTTGACATCTTCCCCTAGAAGTAAACCTCCAGAGAGAGGTCACGGTCACTCCCAAGATCGTTCCCCTGACCACAGACCCTTAGCGAGTCCTTCCTCTCCCCACTGCTCATCGACAATGAAGCAAAATGTTGGTCCCATCTTCTTTCTTCCATTGTTAATGTGCTTATACTGGTCCACTTTGCTTACTTCTGCCTCTGGTGGCTGTTAGCTGCCGTCGAGTCGGCCCCCAGTTCATGGCAACCCCATGCAGAACGGAATGCAATGCTGCGCGGTCCTGCACCACCCACATGATCAGTTGCAGATTGGACCACTGTGATCCATAGGGTTTTCATTGGCTGATTTTTTTAGAAGTAGATCACCAGGCCTTTCTTCTGAGCCTTTCTTATTCTGGAGGCTCCGCTGAAATCTGTTCAGCATCATAGCAACACATAAGCCTCCACTGACAGGTGGTGGTGACTGCGCATGAGGTACATTGGCCAGGAATTGAACCCAGGTCTCCCTCATGGAAGGCGAGAATTCTATCACTGAACCACCACTGCTCCTTCCGCCTCTGGAGTGACCCCTAGGGACATGTGAGTGTTTAACCCCTAGACGGGAGTCTTCTGTAGACCCCTCCAGCTCTGATAGCTTTGAGCAGGGCAGGGCTGTGGGGGCAGAGGGTGATGTGTCACCCCATGTGCGCAGAGCTCTGAGGGCACACAGACTGGCAAGCGAAGCCCTTGGCACTGACACATCTCCTGATCTGCTTCCCTTACCCTCTGGCTGGCTTGTAAGCTCTGTGAGGACAGGACCACACCTTACACCTTTTTGTATTTACAGCACCTAGAAGAATGTTCTAATTAATTGGTTCCCACGAGACCAGAAACTCTGAGTCTGTGCAGAGAAAGTAGAACATTCTGTCCCTGTTCATACCTCCCCAGCTTTGAGGAGCTGACATACACATTCTGGTCAATAAAACTGACATACCTTGAGGTGAGGCCCTGTCTGTCACCACACTGTAAAGAAAACCCACAGATTATAAATGGAAGATTAACTGCGAGCTCTTTCTAAAATAATGTCGTTCTTAAAGCTTTTCTTTCCACAAGAACAAATAGTCTTTAGGTTTCCGGAGAACCTAAAATGACATCACACACTATTAAACAATGGGGAGAAAAGAAAGTTTAAACAAATAGTCAGAAATAGCCAAAAGTAGTGAAGATTATACTTAAACATTGGTACATCAGATGAACTCTAGAGCCCCACTGGTACCCAATGACATGAGAAAATAATTGAGAGAAGAATCCCCAGAGACAATAAGGTACTGTGTACAAATGAAAGGCTAGGACTCTGTGTACCATTATCTTCCCTGAGGCAGATTCCCCAAACTGCTGGGCTGCTGCCTGCGGAAGCCTTCAAACAAAAGAAAACAATTGAAGGATGCCACCGTCTTCAAGTGTTAAGGTTTTCAGTGTCAGCAACCAGTGACAGACAGTTTGAAGTTTCTCACCTGTCCAAAACACACCTGAGCGACTGAACTCCCTGACTGAACTTTCTCACAGCAGAGTGTGAAAACAAATTGCTGTCAGCCAAGGAAAGCATTCCACACGGCCTTGGCCACATTCCACTCCAGTGGAACTCTGAAAAGACTCGAACACCCAGAGAGAGCGCCCATCAGTGCTCAGGCAGGCTGACCAGGGCCTCACCTCCTGAGAGATCAGGATTGTGAGAGGTTTTCTAGTTGCTGCTTGAGTCACTTTCTGTAGATATAATATCCTTTCCCCAAAGAGCAGGTAGGTGGGGTGTAGAGGTTGAGGAGGGATGACATCATTCCCACTGACCTGTTTGAGGGAAGCATGCATTCTCGTTCTCTTCTCTCTGCCTTACCAAAAGCAGAAACTGAGGTCAGATCCTAGATAGGATAACTTAGCAGCTAAGGGTACGGATTTGGAGGTCAGACAGACCTGAATTAATATCCACGTAAGTCACTCATACAAGTGACTTAGCCTCATTAAGCCTCAGTTTCTTTGTGTATAAAATGGAGATACTAATACCACATAGGGTTATAGTGAGGACCCAGTGATGATGACGCAGGTAGAGCTGTTCTGACTGAGATGCAGCCATTAGACATATGGGGATATCTTAATCAGTTATTTTTATTAACTAATTAATTAAAATTTAGCTTTTCAGTCCCACTGGCCACGTGTCAAGTACTCAATAACTTTAAGTGGCTAGCAGCTACTGTGTTAGACAGTATAGATGTAGAATATTTCCATCATCACAGAAAGTTAGCCCCAGGGAACATGCAAGCCCAGGTCCCAGTGTTTGCTGTTGCAGCTGCCATCAGCACCATCATCATCATCACCTCTGTTACCACCACCACCACGGCTGGGACCCTGTGAGGTGATGCTGAAAGGGGTTGTGAAAGTAGGGTAGACCATAAACCCAGTGGCTGTCCCAGTGGCTTCTTGGATCAAAGCTGCAAAGGAAGCCCTTACCCCATCCAGCCCACTATCCCCGCTGGAGCAGAGAGGTTATAGGACTTGGAGAGTCCAGTTCTTGAGAGACCAAGAACAGGATTAGCCCAGTACACATGTCCGTGGGCTGATTGCCTTCCATTCCTATCCCCCACCCTGTGGAATTTCTCCATGTTAAAGGCAAGTTGGGGTAAAAGATATTTCCAAAACCATTTTAGTCATTGGCTCCAATATTAACAACTTTATCTTGGGGCCTATCCCAAAAGACTTGGCTAAAAATCAGGGCATTAGCCTCCTGCCGGAAGAGTTTATCAATTGTATATGAAGACAACAAAATGTTCCCATCCTTTTATTTGTATGTTTAACAAACACTTATACAGCCCTTCCTTAGTGTAAGGCAGTGTTGTTCACACTTTACAAGCTGTTAACTCGTTTAATGCTCGTAACTCTATGAGGTAGGTTTTATTACTATCACACTTTAAAGATGCAGAAACTAAGACACAGAAGGGTTTAGTAACTTTCGCAAGCTTACACAGGCAGTAAGTGGGAGATGGGATTTGAACCCATGGCAATTTGGTTTCAGAGTCTGTGCCATGTTGGTCCCACTTCTGGAACTTTGTCCCATGGAAATAATCTGAAATGCAAACAAAGATGTGTGCACAATGATGATCACTGTGTCATTATTTATGATATCAAAACTGGATATGGCCTTGAGTTCAGTGAAGCACATTGTGGTACCTAAATTACTGTTTTAAATGATGTCTGCAAGAGTTTTCTAATGACATAGTAAAACGGTGGAGAAATGCTAAATGAGAAAAAGATACAAAATTATGTATTTTTTGAAAAGTGTGAAACTCAACTATGTTAGAAACTGCATAGAAATAGTCTAGAAGGAACCATGTCGTTTGGACTGTCATTGGGGGTGGGGGTGGGAGGATAATGTGGACCTTATTTTTTTCTTTCTGCTTTATTATAATTTTATGTACTTTCCAATTTGCTTATAATGAACATTCATTTTCTAGTTGGGGAGAATTTTTCTTAAGAAAAAGAATACATTAAAAAAACCTTTAAACGAGCACTGTGAACCAGGTGAAATAGAAACTTAGGGAAGAAACTGAGCAGCTCGACAGGACAGGAAAACCTTGGGCAGAGAGAAATACTGATGCCCAGGCCCCACTCCCGGAGTTGCTGATTTAGTTGGTTGAGGGTGTGGCTTGGTGCTCAAGATTTTTTCAAGCTCTGCAGGTAGTTCCCAATGAGCAGCCAGAGTTGAGAACCATTGGTTATGCTGCTAAAACCTCCGTGGTGGCTCTCAGCTCCGACTTCAACAGAATTACCTGTGTCCCTTTTTTTTAAAACACCTGAGTATTTCTTTCTTTCAGAAAGATTTTGATCTGGGAGGTCTTGGGGGAGTCCTGGGAACCTGGACCACAGGCTGCTGGATCTCCTAGCTGGAGTTGAGGCCCACAATACACATGGAGCTCACCTAGGCCATGGAGCCCCATTGATTAGACAGCAACCCCAGGTGTCTGCCCACGTTGGGGAAGTTTTCATTCAGAGACTAATAACAACAATTCTCCAGCAACAACACTTCTGCAACCAAGAAGTGCCCGTGGCAGAGCAGTAGCAGTTATTTTGCTGACACCTTTCCCTCAAGTAGCAAAGACTTGTGGAGCCCCTGGGGCTCTCCCTGTGGGCCTTGGGTCCCTCGAGCCCAGCCCACCCTGGGGAGTTGGGAGAATGAGACCTTCTGTCTGGAAAGCATGCTGATGTTCCTTCCCTCCCCAGCTGCCATTCTGGGTATGTCGGTGCACGCTGTGAGCACGCAGACCTCCTGGCTGTGGTGGCCGCCAGTCAGAAGAAGCAGGCCATCACCGCCTTGGTCGTAGTCTCCATTGTGGCCCTGGGTATCCTCATCATCACGTGTGTGCTGATCCAGTGAGTATTTGCTGCCCCTAAGACCAGGTCTACCACCTGCCTGCCCCTGCCAGGGATATCTGCGGCATGCCCAGATAACAGAGCCACCTTGGCACAGCTTGTTGCTATGATGTCTGATTGGTGTCATCAAAGCTAGAGCAACTTTGATGGCTCTTGGCATGGTGTGGCAGCCATGCTGTGTAGTGGTCATGCATCCTGGGAGGGTGCCCCGGCAGTGGGTGTATGCACTGCGGGAAGCCAGAATCAAGGCTTCTACATCCCTCCAGCATGTGGGGTCAATGCCTCTAGATCCCCCAGGCATGTGAAGTCAAGGCCTCTAGATCCCTCTGGCATGTGGAGTCAAGGCTTCTAGATCTCTCTGGCATGTGGGGTTAAGACCTGTAGGTCCCCCAGGCATGTGCAGTGAAGGCCTCTAGATCCCACTGGCATGTGAGGTCAAGGCCTTTAGACCCTCCAGCATGTGGGGTCAAGACCTCTAGATCCCTCCAGGATGTGGGGTCAAGGCCTCTAGATCCCTCTAGCATGTAGAGTCAGGGCCTCTGGATCCTTCCAGCATGTGGGGTCAAGGCCTCTAGATCCCTCCGGCATGGGATAAGCTGGTTCCAGCCTGGCCTCTGCAATTCAGGAAGGTTCTACCCACAGGCAGAGTGCTCTGGTCTCACATTTTCCACTCATGAGAGAGGCAAGTTGGGCAGGAGGGTCTCAGGTCCCCGTCTCTGTTCTGCTGCCCAAAGATCAGGGATCCCAGTAACCTTCCCAGCTTTGCACTCAAGGACATGGCCGAGCAAGAGAGGCTGGGATGGGGATGGTGAAATGCCACCCTGGCATGGCAACAGGCTCACGTCCTCATCTCTGTCTCTGGGCTCACATCAGTCAGGAAGCTCCCCACAGGCCCAGCCCATGGCTGCATAGGTTATATATACATTAAGGTTAGAATAGTGGAAACAGGATATCCCAAGGGAAACAGCCAGCAGTGTCTCTGTAGGTAATTGAGATATTCAGGGCAGCAAACACATGCTTTTGTCTGCCCCAGAGGGCCACCATCCTGCACAGCCCTCAGCCCCCTGTTGTGCCCTCTCAGGAGGCCCCCACGGGAAGGCTGGTTTAGAGCCCAGAGCTTCCCAGCAGGCCCCTCAAGCAGACGTGCACCAGCCAGGCATCCCAGCCAGGCCCCCTGCCCACACCACATTCTCTGCTTCTTTGCAGCTGCTGCCAGGTCCGAAAGCACTGTGAGTGGTGCCGCGCCCTCATCTGCTGGCATGAGAAGCCCAGTGCCCTTCTGAAGGGAAGGACTGCCTGCTGCCACTCAGAAACAGGTAAGGGGCTGCACTGGGGCAGGGGTGCGGGGGGCTTTACTCTCTTTGGAGGCACTACTGGGTGAAGAAAATGATCACCTTCTCCAAGTCAGAAGTTCCTGGAGGATGAAGCAGGAAGAGGGGAAAAAAAGGAATCGGTTGTTTTATCCTCCCAAGTCAGGTTTAGTTTATTCTAACGTGTGTTTTACATAGCAGAGAGCTCTTTTGTCCTTGCTGATGACTGTGTGACCTTTGACAAGTTACTTAACCTCTCTGGGCCTCAGTTTTCATACTCTTAAAAAGACCGCTGTGTAAATTGAATGAGTACTAATGTAAAATACCTAGTATAGTGTGTGACCAATTGTAGACACACAACAGATGTTCATTCTTTTTCCCTTGAGAAACTCACGTCCCTTTCTCATCAGTAAAATGAGGGATTTGAAGAGGTCTCTAAGGACGTTTCAAACTCTTAGATCCTAGGACCTTCATTTTTGTGTTAATATCTTCGCTAACACCCATGAAGGAGTTTGGACTTCTGGATGTGGGGCCAAATTCACATCTCAGGAGCCCTCATCTGAGCGTCACTAATGCTGGGATCATGGAGTTGAGTAGCTCGTTTATCCAGACAAGCCCTGAAATTTTCACGCACATCAACAAGCTTCTCTGGGATACTATTTTGACCAGTAGAGTCCATCATAAACTTAAAATTCCTTTTAAGGAAGTAGTGCGTCAGGAGACAATTATAAGAGGCTGTTCTACACTGGGGTGTTCTTCTCTCGTAAACAGCTGGCATTCCAGAAGCTCAAGGCTGCATGGCAAGGGTAGGCAGTAAGGCAAATGGGAAGCTGGAACCCTCATATGTTCATTAAACCACACAGTAATCTGAGTAGAGGGAGCTGGAGGCCAAGGAGCATCGTTTACTAATTCTTCGTTTCAGTAATCATAATAATTGCGCGTGAGCAGGCCTGTTGATCCTGGAGCCCACAGCTCTTGAGGATGGTAATCCATTAATCTTCATAATGGCCTTAAGAGAATGATTTGTGAGTGATGTAGGGAAACTGAGTCAGCCAAAGGCCTGCTTGTGTTGTACCAGGGTCAGGGATTGAGGATAGAACTGGGCCTCTAAAAGCCCCACTCAACGTATCTCTTCCACTAGTTGGGGCAAGGGAGGGGGTGCATTGAGCTAATAAAGGTAAGTATTTCTCCTTTGGGTTTTACCACCAATAGAAAAATTGTTTAAATTTTTAAAGAAAATTTATAGTAGGTTTGTAGCATTTATCTGCACCTCAGCAGAGTTGTTTGGGAGGGAGGATTCGGTTTCTCGTTACTGTCACTTCTTCTCCACCCATATTTGAGCAAAGGTTAGTTTTGAGCCTAGGGGTGGATCTGGCCTTTCAGAGATGGCCCCTTTCCCCAAGACAATGCATTACCTCCATGACCTCATATAGCACCAGGCAGGCCTGTTGGATGTAAGATCGGTGAACCAGGTGCTCACATGTAAGCTTTGCTGAAGCAGCCTAGCCATGATTGCCCCTGGGCCAGCACACTCCCCTCCTTCAGGGAAACCACAGGAAGGACCAGGGCAGGAAGAGTCGAGGCTGAGCTGGACTCAGGAGCTGCTGAGGAGTGCTTCCATGCTGCCTCATCCTGATACCCTAGGGACCCCACCCAATGAAAAAATAAGTGGGTCCATTTTTAGATGGCCTTAACCAAAAAAAAAAAAAAACCCATTGCCATCAAGTCATTTCCGACTCATAGTGACACTATAGGACAGAGTAGAACTGCCCCACAGGGTTTCCAAGGAGAGGCTGGTGGATTTGAACTGCTGACCTTTTGGTTAGCAGCCAGACTCTTAACTACTATGTCACCAGGGCCTTAGGGGATGCAGATCTGCCACCAGAATCTTACACCAGCTCATGACCTGTCCACCAAGCCACCTCTTGTAGGGGAGCCAGCCACAGGCTAGCATCATCTCCAACTGAATTAAGATCCTCACAACAGGGTGTGTCTTGTTCTCTTCTGCTTCAGCTCATTTCACTTCAGTGAGCCTTTCTGGCTTTCTTGGGCACTGAAAGCAGTTTCAAAAGCTTCTCCTCTGAGATTGGACCAGCGGAATTTGGACCCAGGCCTAACTGCCTGAGAGAGAACCCAGTGACGCTGGCTGATGCTATCTCCAAGTTTCTGTCCCCAGTTTGTTTTCTCAGTGAGACTGGGGTCTGGCCCACAGTGATTAACTTGTTTTTCCTTCTTCCCAGCAGTCTGAGGAGCCCAGAAGAGAAATTCAGCCAGGTGGACTTCAGCCACCTGAGAAAAAAGGACTTCCTGAGGACAGCCCCGTGAGGGATGCCTGGCACAGGCCAGCAGATCCTTCCTTCTTTGCCTGAAATCACCTGTGCAGCCTTTTGTCTTTGTGGGGCGTTCAAAACTCTGTCAAGAACTCTGTCTGCTGGGGTTATTCGGTGTGACTGAGAAGAGAAATCAGCGGACCACGATGTAAAAACTGGTGAAAAAAGAACTGCAAAGGGGCAGACACCCTGTTTACATAGATGAGGGGTGTGCATCGATCTGTATTTGGTCCAGTTGTGTGTAGTTGTCTCTGCCCGTCATGGACCCTGGGCTGTGCTTCTTTTTAATGGGACCGTCTGCTCATTACAGCATCCTGCCCAACACCAGAGAGTCCTGTACTTGTTACAGGTTTTTCTCATTGGCTTATTGGGGAGGAAGATGGAGAAAGGGTAACTACTCACTGTTACGTGAAGACACCAAGTGTAAGAGGAGCTAAGTCATCCTCTGTCATCCAGATCCTCTTCCACAGACACAAGATCTTGAAGACCTTCCCAAGCTGTTGCCACCCTCAGAGATGGTCTTATTTATTAGATGGATAATGTTCTGTTTTTTATCTCTTAAGCCAGTGTAAAAAGCATAAAACCCCTTCAGACTTCTACATTAATGATGTATGTATTGCAGTTATACTGATGGGAAATGTCTGGTCTCTTTGGGATAGCTGAGACTTGGGAGAAGGTACGCAGGGGTACAGAAATGGAGCCAGAGGATGAGTTACTGATGGGAACAAAGATTAGGGTTTAGAGGTCATGCTATTTAAGACATAATAAGCAGGTAAATGCCCAGGATACATTCCAGGTAGATTATCAGCAGAAGGAATTTGTCATACTACACTGCTCAGCTATGAAGCATAATTGTTAACTTCCTAGGAGTCCCTGGGTGGTGCAAACGGTTAATGCACTCCGCTGCTAACCAAAAGGTTGGCAGTTCGAGTTCACCCAGAGGCACCTCGGAAGAAAGGCCTGGTGACATACTTCCAAAAACTCAGCTGTTGAAAACCCTACGGAACACAGTTCTACTCTGGCACACATGGGGTCACCATGAATTGACTCAACAGCATCTGATTTGGCTAACTTCTAGCGAGCCCTCTGGGAGAGTATGCTTAGAAATAGAACAATCGCAGAGAGCTGTGGGCATTTCAGGCCAAATCTATGAGAGAGGGAACCAATCATTTATTTTCTGTTTTGTTGCTTGCTTGGTTTGTTGCTTTATTTTTGAAAGGAGAAATTTAACTTTCCTATTTATTTTTAAGCATTTGGAGAAATAGCCCAGTGATTTTCTCCTTTCCATTCAGGATGCCAGTTTTATTAACAAAAACTCTAACAAGCATCTCTGCTGAGTGGATCTCACTTTCCCCTCAAAGGAGAAAAATTTTCTCCTGAGCATCTGGGTACATTCTGACCCATTGGGCCTCCAGGGCTCTCCAGCCTGTATGTGGGAAGCAGCCGTTTCCTCCAAATGAACAGTGGATATCTCCTCCCTAGGAATTTTCATGAAAATTTGAAAGCAGAATAACAGTGAAATAATATATAAACTCCTTATGTGAGGATAGTCTTTAATCACGAGTACAGGTATCCCCCGCTTTTCGAAAGTTTGCTTTACGCCACTTTGCTTTTACAAAAGACCTAACCTGTTTTCGCTAACCAAAAAAAATCTGAAGAGAATTTTCACTTTTATGAGAAAAGCGGAAATAGCATTGAGCGTTTGTTTTGCAGTGAATTCTTAAAGAGGCAGCACACCCTGAGCAGCCGGAGTGGTGTCGCCAGGCTCCTTCCCGGGGAACTACGCTCAACATCTCAGCATCAAGCTGCCATAGCTTTAAACTGTGTCTGTGAGCATCTGTGCTTTATCTTGATTTATTTTGTGCATCCATTAGCGACTTGTATCTTAAGGTATCAGAAAAGCCTGAGATAGCTCGTAAGGTTTTTATATGTTATTTAGTACGATTTGGCAGGTTATTTTTTAGATCTGGGAATGCTGAAAAAATTTTCCCGTATGAATTAATGGTAATTGCTTCTTTGCTTTATGACACTTCGGCTTACGAAAGGTTTCATAGGAACATTCTACTTTCAGATAGCGGGGTAAAGCTGTGTTTGAAATATGAAAGATTTCTACCTATTAGCCCTTCAGTGCATCCAGCTCCTCACATCATGAAAGGAACTTTTAAAATACGTCAAGTTGGCTTGAAATTTCTGTCAGAAAATACTGTCTTCTCCTTAATTCTTCTTCTTCCCCAGTCTGTCCATTTCTATGAACTTTTTGAGTTTTAGAATTAAGACAATTATGTGCCCCGTGTCTTAACTTGGGCACTTTTATTGAATAGTGCTGCCCTTGAAGTACTAAGAGCAGGAATTTCGTCTGCTCACTAGCCGGTCCCTCTAACAATCTAGCACCCAGGTTTTAACTGTGAAAGTTTGCATTCCTTGGGCCAGTCCCACAGCAGCAGATACATGGGCTAAGGCTTGTAGCATCTTAAAAGCTCAGAGAGCCATCAAATTGACACTGGTTTTTAGACCCCATTTATACTCACCTGTCCCCTCAGACTCTCCTGAGAGTGTGACATGCTGGTTGAGAGAGACTAAGAAAGTGGAGCGGTGTCCCTCATTTTTAACTTGAGTTCACATACATTTTTACTTTAGGAAAATCTTTCCTCAGTCTTTTAGAGGCTATTTGAGCTCTTAACTGCCTTTTAAAAGCATGAACTACTGTGACAGTGTTCTGTGGAGGTGGGCTTTCTTCACCTAATAAATGAAATGATCCGTGTCCCGCGTAAAGACAGTATCAGTAATTGGCATTCAAGAGCCTTTGCTGGAGTGAGGGAAGTTGATGATAGGCAGATGATGGAAGCGGAGAGAACTTTCTGGGTTCCCTACGGGGACCCGATACTTAGTGTCTGTGAAGGCTCTGGTCCTGGTGTCCAGCAGTCACAACTGCGGTACCTCCCTCCTTGTGCCAGCACCCCTATGCTCGAATGGGTGCCTCCCAAGAAGTGCCTTCCAAGTCAGTTCTTTGTAAACCAGTGGGTCTGAAAAGGGTTGGAAGCAAAGGCTGGGGCCAAGGCAGTCTGGACTGGACCTGCATACATACCCCAGGATACGAGAGCCTTGCTTGCTTGGTGATTTCTCTTTTCAAATCCTATGGCCATCTGGCATTGGATTCCTGTCTCATTTCATGGCAGTGACACTTCTTTGGTTAGCTGTAAAAATGCTTCCTTCTTGGGTTAAAAGATGCATTTTCTAATCCATCTCTGCAGGTTCCTTGTGTTTCCTTGCCCTTTAGAAAGCTGACTGTTCCTCACGCTTAGGGAATCATTCTGGGAAGCTGACCTGGTCAGCAGCCTCATACCTTGCAGTACGAACACAGCCATTTCCAGTGTCTCAGGAGACAATGAAAAGCCACCATAGGAAAAAAGGCCCCGAAATCTATTGTAGAGCCTGGATTCTCCCACTGCTTTACAGGCTGTGACTTCTTTAAACATACTGGCAGGAAACATTTTCTTCCAGATGGAAAGATCTACAGTAGCCAACCCTGATCTGAAAGATCCACTACTGTTGGACACCTGTGGACCCAAGCAAGGGATGCGCTTGCGGTTGGGTCCCAGCAGAGGAGGTGGGCACAGTGGCCCCAGAATCCTTTTTCCTGAGAATGGAGGAGGAGGTGGAATTGAAATGCATCCACCAGCACTAGTAAGAAAGGAGAATTTGTGGTTCTAGAGCTTCTTGGGAGATTGTTCCCTCAGGTGGAAAAAACTGCCCAGCACCTTCAACCTGGGTTATCCGAGGTTATCTCATGCACGTGCACCAGACGTTGCTTTTCCAGGCAATTTTGGCAGGAACCAACTAGGCTCAAACACTACTCATGAGACCCTGAGCCCTTAGTAGGGTCTGGGCTTTGATCTTCCCAACCTGCCCAGCCACAGAGGAGGGATGATGGGATGAATCAAAGGCCCAAAAGATCAAGGGAACAACACAGAAACAAGCAAACACTCATGTTTGTTTTTAATGTTTTATCGTAAGACCTTGTTCTCTCTAGCCACTGATTTTATCAGGCTTTCTGAAAGATCTAATGGTATACACACACACAGAGTAGAGAAAAGCAACCCCTCTTCCTACTGTAAAAACTTACAAAATGTTCCACTTTTCATTATCTTTATTATAACAAACCTGAGGCTTTATATATATATATATATAGAAAACTTGTTATTCTGACTTCTGTATATGTTGCACTGAAAAGGTTAATATTTAATGTTTTAATTTATTTTGTGTGGTAAATTAATTTTGATTTCTGTAATATGTTGATGTGATTAGCAGTTCTTTTCCTTAATATCTGAATTATAGTTATTTAAAGTGTAGTGAGCAATAGAAAATGCAGTTGTGTTTTTCCAGTCATGTACATTGTTGTCCACTCGTACGGTACTTTATTTGGAAGGATGAAGGAATGAACTCTTATTTTTTTTTCCTAACTCAAGACGGAGTCTTTTCTTTAATGAGATTGGGGTATTGCTGAAGCAAATTAAGATTTTTCTCTACAAATGTGAACTATGAGAATAAATTAGATGATCTTTTACAAAATGTGGGAATCCTAAAATTAGCCATAGTTGATCCCTGTCTACTTGAAGAAACCAAATTCTCTAAAATTCCTCCCAAAATGTAAGTATTTAATCTACTATGTGCCCAGCAATGTGCTAACTGAGGTGGAGGGAAATATATAAAACACAATTCCTGCCCCAACGTAATTGAGATCAGGCTGGGAAGACAGACTGACATGCAGTAAATAATTCTGGATTATTTGTAGGCAAAATACAAATAAAGCGTGAGATCGTAAAGGAAAGAGTATGTGCTATAGTACTAGTTCTCGAAGTGTCGTCCCCAGACCAGCAGCATCAGTGTGACCTGGGAACTTTTTAGGAATGCTAATTCTCAGGCACCACCACAACATCTACTAAACTCTGGGGGTGGAACCCCACAATCTGTTTTTTAACAAGCCTTCTGGACATTCTGATACATGCTCAAGTTTAAGAACCACTACTGTGCTGTAGGACTCACCAAAGGGATAAATTAGTATGAGGCTGGAGTTGTTAAGGCAAGCTTTGTAGAGGCTTTGCAGAGGAAGGGAAACTTAACACAGTTTACCCCTTAGGGTTCCAATTTCATAGCTTTCAGGAAATATGGCCTTTGAATTTAGGGCCAGCATTTATTTGGATCTTCTTTGCTCTGCCTCGTTGAGAAAAAAACAGGCCTGCCCACCCCCACCTCCTCATACCCAACCCCCTACCCAGTTTCTAACTGTAAGAAATCGTTAAAAAATTGTCAACCCTGTTCTTAAAGTCTCACTGCACTTGAGTTCCCATGGTGTTAAATCTCTACACTTCCAACCCACGTGTGGACCTCACATGTGCCTCATATGAGGAGTTCATGGAGAAGAGGCTAAGAGTGAAATAGTTGCTGAATGGCATGAGATCTTGGTCCCAAAGAAAATTTGGTTCTCTGTAGTGAGGGATGAGCATTTGGAGCCTGTTGTCCAGGCCTCAGCAGGCTTGGAATCGGTGTAACTTGAGGGAAGATAGAAACCCAGGTGACTCCTTGCCCCAAGTTCCCTTGCCTGGCATCTGTCTCTCAATAGAGCCTTTACCCACCTCGTAGGAGGGGGAGGGAGAGACCTGCTGCTCGTACTTGGCCTTCCCCGTAGTGGCCCTATTCAGTCTTCAGGGATACCTCCAAGCCTTATTATTAAACTGGGGGATTTTCAGCTCATTCCCCTTTCTTTTCCTTCTCCCTGATTTCCAAGCACTCCTCTTCCTGCCTGCCAGAACCTGCTTCCAGGGACTATTCCTGCTTCTAGTCAGGTGCACTGGACTGTCCGGGGTGAGGAGGAACCTCTCAGGAAAACACATCTATGAACTTGGAGTGAAGCCAGACCTTCCCTCATGTATCCAGGTGACTCGCAGTTGCCAGCTTGAATCCATAGTCCAGACTGTCATGACCCAGCCTTTTAGTTCCTGTTGGCCCAAACATTAGACCCCTGTTTTTCCTGGTTTCTGTATGCCCTGACTTCTGCCTGATCCACTTTTGAGGATATTTGCCTGTGACCGTAGCCTACCTTCCTCTCTGGCTCAGAGCTCCTTGCCCCAGGAATTCTACACCAACACTCTTTCCCCCATCTCCTGAAACTCCCTCTCCGGCATTTGCTCTCTGCAGAACATGCTACTTCTAGCAGGCCTTGTGCTTTCTGCCATAGTCTTCCACCTCTGAAATAAGGAATGGCGTGCCCACGGTCACACAAGTTGGGTCTAGCGATGCCTGTTTCACTGAGCTAGTGTCTCTCACCCCAGATCAGTTGAAATAGAGTCATTGGGAGTGGACTTGGGCATCTTTTTAAAATCTGTTCAGATGATTCTAATCCAATGCCTACTGCCCTCTAGAGTGCATCAAGCAGGTGACAAGGGAGGGGTCTGAGGCCTGGAGCTGGGAGTGCCCGCTGCCACACAGGGATCCCACCTTGGTCCCTGGTCAAGTATTCCTTAATAGCCAGCAGGTGTCAATCCCTGGGGAGACACAGAGGCTTGGGCCTCCTGTCCAGTGGGATTACCTAAGGCATAGAAGTGGGAAAACTCCCATGAGTACAGCACCCTGTAAGGAGTGCATATGGCTGGGGCTTGAGGTCATGCACAAGTGGGTGATGGCTTTTCAGGAGCCAAATTTTGCGTTGGAAATCAAAACAAGGTGAGTGTGTAATGCTGAAAGGGAAACGAGCAAAAAAAAAGCCTTTTTCTGGGGACACTTGGTCCAACGGACACTTCAGGTCGTGTGGGTGGCTGCACATGCGCCTTAGGACCAGAGGAGCTCCTTCTGCCATAAAGTCATCCATCACAAGTTCTGCAGAGGCGGGGTGGGGGTGGAGTCCCCGCCCCCAGGGAGGTGCTGTTCAGAGCTGGGTATGGGAACAGCTCCACTAAACTGGGGTGGGCCTTCAGCTGGTGGTCTGCCCTGCACATTCCAGGGAGGGATGGATCTGGGAATGTGCTGTGAGAAGCCAGCATCACCTAAACCCTGTCCTGCCAGAACAATCAGCCACACCCCTCCCCTGTAACCTGACTCTCCCAAGACAGATGCCTTGGTAAACAAAGCCCCCCAACCAGAGTGCAAGGAGTCTGGCTTGTGTAGAAGGAATTGATTGCAGCCCGCTTGTTGCTGACTGTGTTACCCTGGGGTGTTACTGATTCTTTCTGTGCCTCAGGTGCTTACCAGTAGAGGAGCGTATTAACACCTGCCTGTTTAGCTCAGGGGTTGTTGAGATAAAGTTTATAAACGCGCTACACGTGCAGCCTGATTCTTGGAATTAAAAGATCTAGTGCGATCTTTCTTGTTGGGTGCCGTGGAATCAATTAAGACTCATAGCAATCCCATGCAACAGAATAGAACTGCCCCCTGGGGTTTTCTAGCTGTAATCTTTATAGGAGCAGATCACCAGGCCTTTCTTCCCCAGAGCCCCTGGGTGGGTTTGAACTGCCAACCTTTCAGTTAGCAGTTGAGTGCTTAAACGTTGTGCCACCAGGGCTCCATAAATGCCATTAATATATTGTCCAACTCAGGGGAGGCCCCACTCCCCCGTCCTCCATTGACCTTCAATTCAAAGTAGAGGAAGGCATAGTATGGGGGGATTGTCATGAGATCATTTCCAGAGGGTCAGTGGCAAATGGGTGGTGGTCCCAGGATGCCATCCTGGAAGTGGTTAAGGGCCCAAAGGAGTGAGGAAAACTGCCTTCAGACATAAGTAGGTGTTCAGGCTGGCCTCAAGCCAGGAGCCAGCAAGGTTGATTTCGGCTCAGCAGAAGCTTCTTTCTCTTTCTCAGAGCCACCTCCTGGCTCTGGCTGCCTCTTGGGCTAGTGTGCTTCAGCACACCAGAGGTGATCAAGCAGAGGCTACATGACTGCCAGGAGCACAAGGGGGGGTCCCCTGTTGAGCTGGAGCACTGCCAGTGTTCTGACCACTGAGATCACCGTGTCCTCCTTGAGTATGAGTCTGTGGGCTAGCCCTAGAGCTCCAGGCCTCCATGTCCACAGCATCCTTCTAGAATAATCTTTTTGATCCGAGACTTGAGCCTCTGTTCTCCCTTTGTCTGGTGTGGGTCCTGTGGTCTCCCAGGGCTAGGGGTGGAGTGGGATCTCAGGCCCACTGGCACCCTTCCCTTCCACCTGCTGACATTAGAGCTTGTGGCTTTTCCATTCTCAGGAGGGTCCCCAGACAGGGACAGCCACCTGAATGGCTCTCAGGAAAAGCTTTTATGGCTCTCCCCCTTCCCACTGGTGCTTAAGAGTGCTGGTTAGTCTCTGCCCTCCCCGATCCACTCTCCACCCTCCTCTGCCTGCCCTGTGCACAAGGCTGACCTGTGAGGCTCTCTTGCCCTCTGGCTTCTGGTTCACACAGTAGGAGGCCCTGGCCAGAGACCAGGGGCGAGAGGAGAGAGGTCAAGGTATTTCCTCCTCTCTCCCTCTCTGCTCCCAGGCTGTATCTAGGACTAGGTTCAAGGCCTCTCCTCCCCAGCTCTGGCCTCTCTTCCCCAGCTCCAGCTCTCATTAAGGCCCAGTAACACAACTTCCTCCCCTTGTCCCTGCAGTCCAAGGGGTGGTAATAGCTTCCCATAGTTGCTAGTTTAACTCTGCCAATCATCTCCTTCTTACTTTTTAATTTCCAATAATTCTGAACAACAACAATAAAAAAAAGTTGCCATTGAGTTGATTCCAACTCACGGCAACCCCATGTGGTCAGAGTAGAACTGTGCTCCCTAGTGTTTTCAATGGCTATGACCTTTTGGAAGCAGATGGCCAGTCCTTTCTTCCAAGGTGCTCCTGGGTGGACTTGAACCTCCAACCTTTATGGTTAGTAACCAAATGCTGAACCATTTGCACCACCCAGGCAGCCTAATTCTTAACCAAAAAAAAAAAAAGCATCGCCATCGAGGTGATTCCAACTCATAGCAACCCTATAGAACAGAGTGGAACTGCCCCACAGGCTTTCCAAGGAGCAGCTGGTGGATTCGAACTCTTAACCAGAGACTGGAAACTCAGACACCTACAGGAGTGAAGCTGGTCCTCTGAATTAGTGAGGGGGCTTGGCGGACGTGTGAAAGCCCTTGAGAATGTCCAAATCTAGGGAGGGGGTAGATGTTGTGATGAACTGGAGGGCATGGACCCCATCTGAAAGGGTCATCAGTCACTTCTCAGTGCCAACCCCTGGTAGACATCCAGCAATGTAGACCTAGGGAGGCCAGATTTTCCAACTTTTCAAGAGAAGTGGGAAATGTGGATTTTTTTCCTGAAATCTCTCCATTCCTAAATGTGGTTCAAATTTATAAGGCACTATGTGGCCCCAGCAAAACTCATCTGCATTTCACCATCACTTTGCAGCCTCCACTCTCAGCTGTTCATTTATCTCAGACTCTGCCAGACCCTTCCACACCTCTCTGCCTTCACAGTTCTCTGCTGGGAATGGCCTTTTCTACTTCTTTACCTGGGCAGACTTCTGTTCCTTCAAGATCTGGCTCACACCTCATCTTCTTTGGGAAGCCTTCCCCTAGTCCCCATGCATAGAAAGCTCCTCCCTGATGAACAACAACAACAATAACAATGCACCTAATGGTAATGAGATGGGTTGACAAAATAGTCATAACAATGGGCTCAAACATATGAAACATCATGAAGATGGTGCAGGACCAGGCAAGATTTTGTTCTATTATACGTAAGGTTGCCAGAATAGAGAGTTATGGTCCCTGAATCAATTCCCACACTTGAGCCAGTTTACAGACCCACAACCTCTTGAATGAAGGGGAGGCCAGGTCCTTTTGAGAAAGGACCCCACTAAACCAAAAAAAAGAAAAAAAAACCCATTGCCATCAAGTCAATTCTGACTCATAGAGACACTATAGGACAGAGTAGAACTGCCTCATAGGTTTCCAAGGAGCGGCTGGTGGATTTGAACTTCCAGCCTTTTTGGTTCACAGCCCTAGCATGCCGTGGCTCTTATCACAGTGCCACTAGAGCCTCAGGACCCCACTACACTGCCAAAAATTAATGCTGTTAATTTTTCTCCCAGCCTTCC